GGCCTCGGTTTCTACACACACATGGTGGAACTGGCCGTACCTGCCGTTTGGTTTCTTTAGCACTACGGTGAGCAGAAGGGTAAGAAAGAAGTGGCATTCATTCCAGTGTCCGGCAGTCTGTCAATGTTTAAATAGATGCAAACCGCTGTTACGGCCAAGGAATGCGGAACACGTGCTGCCCGAGTGGACAAAAGCCCACATCGTGACCCGAGGGACGATGTGGGCTCAGGTAACCCCCTTGTTTTCCCACTCTCTACAGAGGTTGCCTGACTCCGAAGCACCCATGGTCCAGATTTGTCTGTCTGCCTCTAAAGTCACGTTAGCTCTGCCTAGGGCTAGGGTCATGCGGATTGGCCTCCAGCCCTGGGGAAAGGCGTAGTTTCTTAGGAGCAGCCAGAAACTCTGCTCCGCCTGTGGAAGCTTTGGTGGAGAGGCAAGCAAGCAGCTAGGGACCGAAGCATCTTCGAGAGTTTTGTAGAAAGTTCACCCCTGACTCTTATCGGAGGCTAGGAATCATCTCTCCGTTGCCATGACTACGGGCAGTCGCTCATCAGTGCCAGGTCTCTGAGTAGCAGAAATGCAGGGAGGAGGAAGGCCTCAAGGAACCCGGCACCCATGGTTTCCCCTCTCCCCGTGTGAAGTGGGGTGTGCCGGCCCTCGACTCCCTGTCTCCGCTGTCCCCTGAAGATCTTGTCTTCTTTTAAGTCTTTTTTTTTTTTATTTTACACTCAACTTTGAATAGCTGTGTAGGTAAAGATGGGGCAACTATGGACATGTCTCAGCAGAAATGGGCCCTGAAAAGATGCAGGCCTGGAAACAGGGAAGACACATGGGCGAGGCTGAGGCCTAGGTCTGGTTCCACTAAAGGTCTGGGGTGCTTCACAGCCTCTTCTTCCTGTCACCGCAGCAACTTGATTGGTAAGAGGGTGCAGAGCCGGAGCTACAGTGTCCACATAGGATCAGTGGCCAGAACCCATCTACTCGTCCGTGCACCCCTTCATCAGCAAAAGGAGGCACCGGTAGACACTCTTGGCTACCTGATGGTAAAGAACTCATAGCCTAGCTCAGAAGATGATCAGTTAAAGGAAATAAAAGAATTACCAGTGAAGAAAAACAAACTCAACAAGCCCCTGTGGTTCCCACGAGGAACAGAGTCAGAAGAGAGGACAGAGTCTAATGCAGCAGGCAGGGGCAGTTCCCCGCAGAGGTCACCCTTGAGAGAGGACAGAAGGCCTGCAAGCTGCTGCGGCAACCGCCTGCCAGGTGCGGGGACAGCAAGTGCAAAGGCCCAGAGGCAGGAAAGCGTTGACCCATTTGAGAAGCAGTAAACGGACCGTATGGCTAGAACAATGGGAAGACACGGGAGGTGCGGCTGAGGTCAGATCACACGGCATCTCTGGAGTTTGTCCTTGATCTGACAAATCTGGACTGTTTCTTTAGCGTGGAGTTTCCGGGCTCTACCCGTTGAGACTCTCAGTCATTGCCTCTACAATGGGTCCTAGGATCTCACTCAGAAACCTCATTGGGAACCTTCGCTATTGTGCCAACGTTGGGTAACACAGGAATCTACGCTTGTGCTCTCTCTTCCAGTTCTAAGACAGCTGAGCAGAGCTGGAGGGTGACTCGGTTACCCCAGTGCTTGCTACAGAAGCATCAGGACCTGAATTTGTTCCCCAGCACCCACGTAAGAAGCTGGGTATGTCAACACACGCACTTGAAACCCCAGTTCTGGAAGGTTGGAGACAGGAAGATGCCCAGAACTCCCCGGACATAGAGCCTAGACCTCAGCAAGTCCCAAATCCCAGTGAGAGGCCCCATCTTAGCATGGGACCTGAGGTTGACCTCTGGCTTCCCCATGCACTCATGTGTGTGCATGTGTGTATGTGTACACATAGACAGGTGGAGAGAGGGAGGCAGGGAAAAACTGAGATACACATACACATTCTCTCTCTCTCTCTCTCTCTCTTTCTCTCTCTCTCTCTCTCTCTCTCTCTCTCTCACACACACACACACACACACACACATTAGGATGTCTGAAGTAAGGTCTTGAATGTTCTATCATGGAGGACCCTGTCCTTCCCTTCAGCACTTCCTGTAGAATTTATTAGAGTTCTGTTTGCGTTACTACAGATTTCCCAGTGGGGAGTCCCAGTCTAAAAAGCTGAAACCTATGCTGTTGGAGAAAAGAACAAGCTAGCACAGCCCCTACCGCACAGCTGCAGAAATCTCGCTGAGGAGACCTCTGATCTCATCTCTTGCCATTCCTGCGTGTGCTGAGGTCTTTGAATCCAAGTCCTCTGCCTGGCATGTGCCTCCCCCTTTCTGCAGATACCTGTGCAGACAGGATGCATTATTGTGCAAACAAACAGAAAAATCACTCCCAGTCCTTGTAGCTAAAAACAAACCCAGCAAGCAGCTGCGTTTCACGGTTTCTGTGAGCTGAGAGTGTGCTGTGTGGCTCTGGCTCAGCACATCCCATGAGGTTGTTCTGGTCATATCAACGTGCTTGCTCGAGTGGCCGGAGACCTCTCTGTGGGGCTGAGTGTTCTTACCACATGGCAGATGATGATCCTTACCTCAGAGTGATCAATCAAGGAGAGCAAGGCAAACATTGCCTGGTGACATAGTTTGCAGGTCAGACATTGTTGGGCGGTGGTGGTGCACACCTTTAATCCCTACATTCAGGAGGCAGAGACAGGCAGATCTCTGTGAGTTCGAGGCCAGCCTGATCTATGGGGGAGTGTCAGGGCTACATGGAGAAACCCTGTCTAAAAACAAAGGGGAGGGAGTCATACATGATCACTTCTACACTGGACTCATGGCAAGTGAGCCATTAAGTTCATCCCATATTCTAGGACAGAGAATATGTCTGGCAAAAGTATTAATCAATCTATGAATCCATTTTAGGCCACATTATTCTAAAGGTCCCTGTCCCTGTTGCTCATCAGAGGGGTCTTCTCTGACCCTGTGGAGTAACAGACACTTTCCTAACCCTTTGCTGCTCTATCCTTGTCATAATTTGTAACATTCACTAAGTCACATTGCTCATACTTAAGTGATAATGATCTCCTCTGACATCTGGATCTCAACTTCATGGTCACAGTAGCACCCCTGATTGGGTCACTGCATCCCCAGCCTGAGAACCAGCTCTGAGGTTTGGAGATAATGAATGCAGGTTGGCCTGGACCAGGCGGGAGGCAGCCTTGATTAGAATCTCCATTCCTCCTTGGCTGGCAGCGACTCCCAGCTCTGCTTCTGAAGATGCGCCGAGAAGCGGCTGGCAGAGATGAATGTGTTGTTCTGCCCTTGCTTCCCTATTGACTGGGCTTGGCTCACTCCCTGGAAACCCTAAGGATCAGGGAACTTATCGGATGTGCTCATTGTGAGTCATAAAGCCAGTAGGAGCGTGGTGCAGAAATACTCAAGCCTTTGGTCCATGCTTGACTCGAAATCTGAAGGAAGAATGAGCTAAGACAGACCCTCGACCCTCAAGCTCCTGGCTCCATCCTCTTGGTTTGGATCCAGGATTTTAACAGGATCCTCAAAGACTGAGCGACGAGTCTATTTCTTGTCCCTTCCTGAGACTCAAATACGTGAGGTACATTAGTGACTCCCACATATTGTTTGGCAGGAGGAGGGAACCTTAAGCCCTCATAGGTATTGCTGTTCCAAGCAGGTGACCTCACCCCTGCAAGAGACACCAGATTGACTGATTTGCAAGAAAGTAAAATTAAGATAAAAAGTTTTTTCCCCTAGATCTTTTGGTTGGCATAACTCATCTTTGTCCGCATGTTAAGTCAATGGTCTAGGACTGGTGGCAGCCTCTGTTTTATTGCTGAGGGACCAGGGACTCGGGATTTGAGTGACTGGCTGCAGTGATTACAGATGCCAAATGGGGAAGGGAAGGCAGTATCCAAATTCAAGCATTCAGCCTCCCACCCACCGCATATCCAATAAGAACAGTATCAAAGACCACAATGGGTTCCTGGAACCTAGGAGAGTATCCAGCACTGTACTGAAAATCACCATGTTGCTTCCTTTACATGGGAGCCTATGAAAAGGTTTTATTTATAAATTAGGTATAGTGTGAGATTAAGAATAATGGCAGAGAAATAATACACTATAAATGCGATCTTACTCTTAAAATATCACACTGTGTTTTTACCATCTCCTGAAACAGGAATACCTAGGCCTTCCCTTTGGCATATTCAAATGTCCAGCATCACTCTTTTGTACTTTAGGGCCATCACTAAGGGGTGACTTGGACACAGTACTCTAGTGCTATGTCTGTTAATCTGCTAAGGGTGACTATTAAGTGTTTCACAGTTGGGTAGCATATACAATATGGATACACTGGGTAAAAGGATGGTTCGTGTCCCAGACAGGAGAGACAGCGAGGCAGGGCCAGGTTTTACTATACCACTCAGGCAAGTACGAGTTTATACTTACGATCTGTTTATGGAATTTTTCCATTTGATACTTTTGGAGCTTGGCCGACTATGGGTTTATGGAAAAACAAACTGCAGATGAAAGGGGACCGAGAATGCAGAGAAACAGAGTCTAAAGAGAAAGAAGGGGCAGAAGGGTTAAACTCTTCCTCCCGTCTGTCCTCGTGAGAGAGGCCATGAGGGCTGGTTTCTAAGATCCTTCCCTGTTCTAGTCGGGACAGGATGCTATAGTAATGAACTCTGAGATCTGAACACCTTAATCCAGCCCACTTCTCTTAAAATTATTGAAGCTCAGATATCTCTCCTTCTCCAAGTGGCTTCAACTTTCAGAGTATGTAGGCTTCAGCGTCGCTGAGGGAGAAAGAGGGAGAAGACGTGCGGCTCTTGACTGCCTTGAATGGGAAATGACTCTCCACTCCAGTCAGAGAAAAAGACCAGTGATAGTCTCATCATCTCCATCTAAGCAGGAGGCCAGAAAACCTCTGGTCAGAAAATATAGTGAAATGACTCCAATATCCTAACAATTCTACCTCCTTCTTTCGTCCCCCGCAGGACAGAGCCCCAAAGCAGTCTCTTGGTCCCAGCCCAGGATGGACCTTCAGAAAAGTTGGGTCAACGTCTGGCCACTGAGACCTTTGGTGCCAACAGCTGGGAGAGAGATAAGACCTGCAGGGAGCTGGGTCCTGCCCGAGCACACAGGTGAGATACAGTACCGCCTTTAGAGCCCTCAGCTAGTGCAAGCTGAGTGTGTGAAAACCCAGGTGGCTTTTCTGACCCCTTCTTGTTTTCAAGTTCCTCTCTGGGAGCTTGTCATGTGCTAGCAAATGTTTTCTGTAGAGGGCCAGAGTTTTAGTAAGGGACCCAATGGTTGTTGTCACAACGCTTTAGACCTGGGCACTAAGTCTAAAAAAGCACACGCGTTCTAAAGACAATGGATTTTTAAGAGCAGGGGACAAGCTAGACTCGGCTTGTGTGAGTTTGACCTCTATCGGTGTGACAAATGCCTAGGACAACAAGACTAAGACAGTTATTTTTGGCTCCTGGCTTCAGAGATTTTGCTCCACGGTCACTTGGTTCTGCTGTTTCTATGACTGTGTGTGGTGAGGCAGGATGGAGAGAGAGAAAGGGGGGAAGGGAGGGGAGAGGGAGGGAAGGAAAAGGGGACAGGGATGCAACTTTGTTCCTTCTCTAGTTGTACCTCTTCCTTTTTCTACCTTTGATCCTTCCAAGCCCACCAAATATTGCATTCAGGGCATGTCTTCCCACCTTGTTTGATGTTCCATATGTCAATCATCTCTGGAACACCCTCACAGACACCCAGCACTATCCTTTACCTGTCTCCTGGGCATCACTCAATCCTGCCAAGATGACATTGTAGCTTAACCACCACCTGGCCATGGCAAGACCCTCACATTTAATGAAAGAGTTACTTCTTGGCATAGTGATTATATGAGCCCCAGACTCTCAAATAATAATTTCAACCCATATTTGTGTCCTATGTTTTAGGCCTTTGCCCTCTCTCCTTAACTCAGCTCTTCAGTCACTGCCCTTTTGTCCCTGATAGATGTCAGGTACTATGCTAGACATTGATAAGTAGCATTTCACTGAGAATCCTAGAGGTGATGTTATGACCAAAATATGATAACCAGTAAGTTAGTTAAAACAGTGAAGTTTTAAACTCTAGCTGGGGCCAAGAGATAAAGATGCTTGCTGACAAGGACCTGGGAGTACAATCCCAGGTCCTACGTGGTAAGTGGGACAAATCTGATGACTGGGAATAGATCCCTAGGTCCTACATTGTAGAAGAAAAGAGCCAGCTTCTGCAAGTTGTGTTCTGATCTCAGTATGTGCACCATAATACATGTGCATGTGTTCCCATACACAGACATGCTAATAAGAAAAAACTGACTAAATGAATACACTCCGGTCTTTTTTAACTTAACTAAACTAAGCCTACATTGATAATGGAGGGACCAATGCACTCTCTACCTCTTGGCTTTTAATTTTCTATCTTACATAAATAGAATTTAGTTCATTATTACCTCATCTGAACATAGTCATAACACCATCGTATGTGTGTGCATACATGTGTGAGTATGTGTATGTTCAAGTGTATATGCATGTGTGTATATGTGAGTGTGTATGCATGTGTGTGTGTGACTGTGAGTGTGTATATGAGAATGTGTGTGCATGTCTGTATGTGTATGCATGTACATGTGAGTGTATGTATGTGGGGGGGAGGTGGGTGCACGTTTGGGTAGTGCATGGGTGTGTGGGGATCAAATGTCAGCCTCAGGTGTTACTCCTCAGGCACAACTCCCCTTGTTTCCATGCCAGGATCTCCCACAAGAACCCAGCTCACCGATTAGGCTAGGCTGGCTGACTAGCAATCCCCACATAGCCATCTGTCTCTATTGTCTTTTGCTTTGATCAGAAGCACACACTAGAAAGCTTGTTTTCATTTGTTTGTTTGTTTGACGTAGGAGGCATGTTTTAAACTCTCCATGCCTCCATTAAAGCAACTGTGAACGGGAATACGGAGCTCTCCTTCTGAAGGTCGAGGGGAGCATTGATACAGGTCAGACACTGTTGGGGTTTCTTTGCTCTGCTCACCAGGGCGCCTGATAGGAACAGAGAATGGGAGGGTAGGCTTATTTTGGCTCCTGATTTCGGGAGTATTTCTAGTGATTGTGGTCAGTAAGGTCGAGGGTATGGGGTGACTGTAAATGGCCAGGACAGAGGGCAGAGAGAACCAGATCACAACCAGATGTAACTTTCAAAGGTCCGTCTACAATGAGATAACCTACTTCCGTAATCCAGGCTCCAACCCCTGAACCTCACACGGCCTCCCCAAAATGGCAGCACCTAGGAAGCAGGGTTCAAAGATGAGCTGTGGGGAACATTTCAAAATCAAACTTCAATGGGTACCTGTGGGTCCTGGCAGTAGGTGTGAATCATAGGAGGTCCTCAAAAAAGAAAAATTCTGATTAAGGGCATCAGCAAGCCAGGGGAGAAGATTCTGAGAATGAAAATCTAAAGAAGAAGAAAAAAAAACAAAACGATGACACCATGTTATCAACTGAGCTAATATAGTGTGTCTGGGCCTCGTGTCCTCTTCTGTCTGTGACTGATTCCCTGAGGAGTTAAGAGCCACTGCGATGATGACAATTAATAACTATCTATCTTATTAGTGATAAGAAGTCATGCTGATTATGCTTAATAACAGGGCCATGCTCTGAAGAGTCTGTCCTCAGAAGACATTGTTGTCCAAACCCCTGAGAGGGGACTTACACACACCCTTCATGGCACTGTCTACACCCGAGCTGTGTGTCACACCTACACGCTCACAGTGTATCCTACAGCTCCGAGGGGCCACGGGGATGAAACGGTACAGGTCCGACCAAGCACAAGAGCCAAACATCAAAACGAGCTATAAAGCAAACGCCTAGGTGGAAAGCTTCTGCCTGAAGCAAGCGTTTCTCTACACTCCGATCACAGAAATGGCGTGGCCGCATAGCCCAGCACTTCGTTAACATGGCCAGGCATTAAGATCTGTACTTAGTTGTTAACACTGTGTCTCACCTGACAGAAACACAGTAGATTGCCCCTCCAGGATCACCACACATGCATGAGCAACACCCCGTGTTATGGTCAATATGAGGTTTTCAGCTTCATTATGGAACTAATGGGACAGCCATGGCATCAGTGGGGATGATGGTGCATGACGTGGGACTGTAACTGTAACATGGCGGGTTAGCTGTGAATGGACTCAGTGCCGGGCCAAGACACATGGCAGGTACCTGGTTTAATTCTCACCTCTCAGCAGATAAGACCAGTAAGAAAAATCTCTGCGATAGGAAGAGACATGGAGCCATGACCACCACGTCCTCACCCACCGCACATCTTACAAGCATACACGTAACCGAGTGCTTATCTTCTCCGTGTGTGCTCGGGCTCTGAACACTTGTTCTCCACCTCTTGCACAGTGTGGACTTAACCCCTGCACACACAGCCACTTGAACTTACAGTCTACCCTGTAGCAGCTGCATGATTGACCACTGGAAGTGACCATCATACATGGAACTCCAGTGTATGCAAGCACCCTGGGCACAGCACTAACCATTGTGCTTCTCACTACTGTCTGGGATGCTTTTCACAGAACCAGGGCAGGGGAAAGGGATGGGGAAGTGTGGATGAACGTGTATGAAGGCTTTGGGACATAATCACCTCTCAGACTTCAGATCTATTGAATTTAAAGGATTTTCGATTTATGTCAGAGTTCTTTGCAGTTGTTTTTCTTTTTTTAACTCTTGGGGGGCCTGCCACCCAGGTCCCAAATAAATACACAGAGATGGATTCTTGTTTATGAATGTCTTGCCTTAGCTTGGCTTCTTTCTCTCTAGTTCTTCTGACTTAAATGACCCTGTTTTTCATTAACTACATTTTGTTTCTGGGTTTTTTACCTTTCTTTATTCTAGATATCTTTCTTCCTTGCTACTCTGTGGCTGGTTGTGTGGCTGTGTCTGGCCACTGGTGGCCTCCTCTCCTTTTCCTTTTCTCATGTCTCCCTCCTCTCCCTAGATTTTTCCTCCTATTTATTCTCTCTGCCCTCCAGCCCTGCCTATTTCTCTCTCCTGCCTAGCTATTGGCCCTTCAGCTCTTTATTAGACCATTCAGATGTTTTAGGCAGGCAAAGTAACACAGCTTCACAGAGTTAAACAAACGCAGCATAAAAGAGAGCGCCGCATCTCTGCGTCATTAGACAAATGTTCCATGGTATAAACGAATGTAACACATCTTAAGCTAATAGTCCACAATAGCTCTTAGTCCTAACAATGACTCTTCCCTGTTTTTGTCACACTTTTCCACCCCACCCTGAGCTTCCCAGCAGATGTGCCCCTGCGAAACAAGAAGGCTCAGCACGCAGCCAAGCTCCTTCATCCGTCACTTGGTCATTTGACAAATGCTCACTGGTTTCTTGCTGGGAGTCAAGGACTCCTTGGAGAAAGAAAGTGGGAAGTGGCCCACTGTGCCTTTAAGAGCAGCTGGCTCATTTTCCCTAGGGTCTATTGTGTTTTGTGCTTTATAGCATGGAGGTGCGCTTCAGCAGCCAGGGTCTGATTCTTAAACATTCTTATGATGTTAATTTGTAGCTTTTAACTAAAAGTGACTCTCTTAAAAACACACAGGGGTGTGTGTGTGTGTGTGTCCATTTGTTGGTGGGGCAGAAGACTTAACATACATTCTAATCCCTCCTCACCCCTCCTGATAACCCTGATGATCCAGACTCTTCAAAGGGAATGAAATAAGATGAAGTTTTATGATATTCTAATGAGTTTGGCCCTCCCCATCTTATTGGCTCTACAAACAGCTCTAGAAGGCAGCTGGGGTTTTGAGGCGACTCTTGGAGCAGGAATTACAGGGTTTCAAGTGCCAGCTTCCATGACTCCTGGCTACGGTCACCAGTAAGTCAGCTCAGCTCTCTGGACCTCGTTTCCTTCACTTGTGAAACAAAAGGACAAGAATCATATTGGTGATCTAGAGAGGGCCTTTCTCAACTGACTGGTTTGCCTTGTAACTTCAAAGACTTGAGTTCACGCCCAGGGGCCAGGTTTATGAACAAATCAAGGGATGGTGGCTCACACTGTGATCCCAGCGCTGGGAAGTGGAGTCAGGAGGTTCCTGATTTTCACTGGTCCGCCAGTCTCATCTACTTGGTCAGCTTCAGGCCAGTGAGAGATCCTCCCCTGTCCCCCCCACCCCCCAAAAAAGGTGGACGACACATAATGAAGGAAACCCGAAGTTGTCCTCTGGCTTCCAAACACACTGCCTTCTAAATTTTATGTCAAAATACATAAACCTCTTGATACATTTATATATATATATATATATATATATATGTGTGTGTTTGTGTGTGTGTGTGTATACATATGTATATATATAATTTCCACCCACACACACACACACACACACACATATATATATATATATATATATATATGCCAGTACTGATTTTGTTACTGCTAAATTAATAAAAACAATACTAGTTGTTCTAGCAAAGGCCTACTGAGCTTGCATGTTTCCATTCTCAAAGAGATTTCAATCCATCCCTGTCTCCCTTCGCTAGAGGATCGAGCTCTCTCTCTCTCTTTTTCCACCCCCGGAGCCTGCCCCAATTATAAAAGAAGATAGCTTGACTCCCTTTAACTGCAGCCTGAGCGTTTGAATTTAATTGAACGGGAAATAATTATTCCTGAAGAGCGGAGATTTTGGAGGTTCTGTGAAGCAATGTAAGATATGGATCTTGTTACATTAGACCCACGCAAATACACTTTTAATAACCAGCTTCTATTCAACCTACCTTCTGTCTCCCGTGAAATCTACAGCAGGAAGTGTAGACGGGTCGGACTGCGGTGGGAGTGGGCAGGACTGCCAACTCATTATTTTTAAAGTGATTTATTTACCGAGGTGAGCCATTTTCAAATTCAATAATAAATCTATTAAGGGGCAGTTAACCTCTATAAACCTTGTTTTAAATAATCAATTGGCATTTGGGTAACTGCAGTGCCTGTCTCATTAGGTGGGCATTAAGTCCTTATTTGAGACATTTAATCTGAGGTGTGACCGAATCAGCCATGAGGTAACAATTAGATATTCACCATGGGTCCTTGATTCACCAAGGAGCTGGTCCTCTCCCTTTCTCTGGTTGTGACAGCCCTGAGGAAGGAACCAAGGGTTCCTCTCATGTATGACTTTTTCCCCCCACAGTGCCTCTCAAGAAAGAGACCTGACACCGCCACCTTCCTCCAGGGGGAAAAAGAAAAAGAAGAAATCGACCAGGAAGAAGAGAAGGAGGTGAGCATCCTGAACAGATACGAAACTTCAAAGACTCAGAGACAGGAGAAGGGATGGACAGAGAGTATAAAGGTTTATAGAGTCTGGCAGTGACTCCAGCTTGGGTTCAAATTCCTTCTTTGCCTCTTAAGTACCCATGTGACTTTGGGCTTCACCTTTCTATGCTTTTGCCTTCCCTCTTCTGCAAATGATAATAATAAAATAATACAAACCTCTTGGGATTTTGTGAGCATAGGAAGAGAAATGATCCTGGGTATGGGGGTTCATGCCTATAATAACAGCACTTGAGAGTCTGAGGCAGGAGTATTGCTGTGAGTTTGAGGCCAACCTGGGTTACATAGTGCATCCTAGGTCAGCCTGAGCTACAAAGTGATACCCTGTAACACAAAAAAAGAGTAAGAGGAAAATATGGAGCAGCTGACACAGTGTTTAACAATTGTGTATGGCCAGTTAATAAAGAGATGTTACTACTGCATGGTTGTTGAACACAAGAGTCTGGAACTTACAGTGAGCAGAGGTTTGTGCCAAACACCTTGCTACTCACCTTCTTCTCACTCCCGGCCACGCTCTTCCAGGCAAGCATTATGCCCATTTCAGAGATGGGAATATAAAGGCTCATGGGCTGGGATGTCAGAATCGGCCTTGGCCTTGATTTGCAGGATTCCTCTCTAGATCCAGAGTTAACATTTTATGTTAACACCATATCGTGACTCCTTCGAACTTCTTGAATTTCTTTCTAAGCACAATTCTTTCAAGACGTTTTTATACTTAAAAATATTTCCAGCTTCCCTCATAAAACCTTGTCTCCCAGGGAGACAAGACTCCATGGGAGTCAGGGAATCTCACCAAACCTCCCCGGCAGTGTTTACGGAAGCCTGCAGGGGGCGGCAGAGAGCAATGACTGGCCCACTAGGGCCTGGGGTCCAGGTTCACAGGGCTTTCTCAGCCACACCTACTTAGCCTACCACTTAAGGATGGACCCACATAGGACTCGGGGGTAGTGCGGGTGACATCCCCATTGTAAGGTAGGGGGTGGACTCGAGGTGAATTGAGTTCCCGATTTTAGAAGTGTGCAGAACTCAAGAGGAGGGAACAGCACGCTCTGGGGTTCCCTAATTATTCCTCCAGCAAGGGTCCCCTGAGCGTGAGTCTGGGGACAGCTACAGTTCCTAATGTGTTGCATTGTTCCTCATCCAATTCTCTTTGCTGATACGTTTTGTTGAGCCTGCCAAGTTTTTGTTTTTTTTTTAAATAAAATAAAATAAAATTAGTGTGTACTCATTAAAAATTGGGATAGTTCATATGAAAATATGGGTTCCCCGAACCTTCTATGGAAAGGCAGCTGCTGTGGAAGGCTGGGGCTGCATTTTCACACTGAACCCCAACTCCTGTCTGAGAGGCCGCTGCATGTTCTCGGGGTTTCCTCATCCTCAGGGGCCCATGCTCTCGGGGTCTCCTCAGTCTCGGGGTCTCCCTACTGCTTCTCAGTCAGCCTGCTTCGTTCCTCTACCGCATTAGAGAGGCTCCTGTTGACCCTGAGCGTCCACAGCCTCTGTTCCCAGCCCAAGCCTGCTGTCTCACTGAGGAAATAAAGCAGGAGAGGAGCTGTGATTCCCCCAGAGGCTGTGAGTTGGTGGTGGAGTCAAGATAGGAAATCAGGTCGCTCTAACATCAGGCTGAATCATCACCTGGCCCTGCTTCCCAGGTGCCCCTTTGGTGGCTGTGACTTCAGAGAGAGGGGCTTACCAAGGAGACAGCAGAGACCAGGGAACATGGGAGGGGCAGAGCTTACAGGGGAAGCCACAGGTGAGACCAAGAAAGCACTTTAGATTTAATTAAGAGTAGAGTTATGTTGTTATGATGAACAAACCTGGAAACAGAGAGAACTCAGCTCAGATTTCAGACCACCCACGTCTTGGCTGTGTGTCTTGGAGCAGGTCACTACAGCACTCTGAATCTCACTTTTCCCCCTCTGAAAACATAAGGAAGGCAACCGTGTCAACCTAAGAAAGATATAGGGACTGCCCCTGAATACGGTCCCCAAAAGAGCCGAGACCCTGCATAAAGACGGACCGTGTCTCCCTCCCCACAGGTCCCCATCCTACAGCCCATCACCAGTCAAGAAGAAGAAGAAGAAAAGCTCCAAGAAGCATAAACGGCACAGGTACTGCCCTCCTGTCTGTCCTCCTCCACAAACAGGGACGCCCCAGGTGCGGCAGGGGTCAGGTACTGCCCTCCTGTCTGTCCTTCTCCACAAACAGGGACGCCCCAGGTGCGGCAGGGGTCAGGTACTGCCCTCCTGTCTGTCCTCCTCCACAAACAGGGACGCCCCAGGCGTGGCAGGGGTCAGGTACTGCCCTCCTGTCTGTCCTCCTCCACAAACAGGCGTGGCAGGGGTCAGGGCCCAGGAAGACACTCACTTGGAGACAGAAAAGAGATCTATTGACTCAGACTGGAAAGGAGAGCTGATCAGAAGAAAGCAGATGGGTTTGGGAGACCTGCCAGGCCTAGAAGAGGGGCTAGGAACTAGGAATGTGAACCAGAGAGATCCCTGGCAGTTCCCCCTGCTTCCTGATCCTTGCTGGGAGGGGCTGTGCCCTGCCCCATTTCTGCCACATCACAGGCCAAGACAGAAGCAGACAATGATATCTTCATCATGATCCCAAAGTACCAGGAGAAAGCCTCCATGTGGCTTCAGCTGTGTCCTAGAACGCAGAGCTGTGTTGAAGAACATGACACCCAGGGATCCCCATCCAAGGCGGGGAACAGGGAGAGTCATGGAAAGGCCTCTCATGGTTTAGACTCTCAGTCCAGGTGTTTACTATGCACACACATGCGTGTACATATGCACACGCATACATATATACACAAAGCCGTGTATACACACATACATATATACACACATCTATGTACACACAAACACGTATATATACAAATGAATACACATACGTGCATATATACAAATATGCATGCATGCACACACACATATATACACATGAACACACATACATGCACATATACACACATGCATGCACACATACCTATAGAGTCAAATACTCATGTATATTTACAGAGGGCAAAAGACTGGTAACCAATGTGGCCAATGGGCCAAGCCTACATGTTTTGAGAAATTTTACAATGCAAAATTTCCATGGTGCCATTCTTCTGCAAAGAAATTTCCATATTCGTTGAACTGCTTCTCATGGGCCACCGTCAGCCAGCTCAGAGGAGCTTTGTACCATGGGACAGTCAGCCCGCTCAACTCTACACACCATCTAAGCCTTGCAGTTGGCTGTGGATTTTAGGGAAAGAATGCCTTTTGGTTTATTCTTGTTTATCTGTATCTAGCAGTGTGTGCGGTTACCAAAGGTCAGAGATCATTTGAGTTTTTCTCATCTTCAAAGTGGCACTAAATAAGAGTTTTCACAGTCCAGAGGTTTGGCCACATCTCACTCCATATTGCTAGAATGTTCTCAGACTCAGTTTGGTCCAACTGGCTACATCCACCACTGATCTAGAGTCTCCGGTTAAACTGATGTGGTAGGTGATTAGCAAGCTGTGGTTAATTTGAAGTCGTCAGTCCTTCCTACCATGGAGCGCGATGCTAAGGCAAGCGTGAGCCCATGAGTGTAGACAAGCACTCGTCACCTGCCTGTGCTGAGCAGGAGGTCCCAGTGTGGAGGACTTTTTTCACACCTCGATCTAGAAAGCCAGACAGCTTCTCACTCAAGGCCTGTAATTTCAGCTACCTATGAGTCTGAGGCAAGAAGGTCACAAGTTCAAAACCAGCCTAGGCAATTTAGTGAGATCCTGGAGTGAGGAATTTAGGGAGGAAATGAGGGCGAATACTCTGGCCCTTCCTTGAGCCTACTCTTGGGCTCCCCCTTCCCCAGCCCAGCTTCTCCAGGTCTGTGTTCACGACATGTTCGGTTAAGGACAGCTGAGGGTCTTGGAGGTGGCAGCTAGGAACAGGAGAAGCATTGGGCCTTTCCATCTCTTAATGTCAGGGTTTGAGACCTTTGAAAAACTCTATTTTCACATCTATTCACACTTAAGATTCTGAGCCCCAGAAATAAAATGATGAACAAAACCCTGCTACAGATTTCTCCATCCAGTGGGTCAATGGTGATTACAGGGTGGGGGAGTTCTGGGCTCCACCGGAGAGAGAAGAGCCTGCGGAACGCAGAGACTACTATAAACTGCTGTGGGGAGAAGGGGAGAAGGGGAGCATGGAGGAGGGGAGAAGACAGAGGTGACCAGATAATAAGTTTATTGAACCTCGCTGCCCTCCATAGTGTGGCATAGGGATGGACAGAATGAGGTTGTTTATGCCCGGAGCATAGAACAGCAGAGGTTCTGCCTGTGGTGGAGCACAAGGAGGAGAGAGATGGACAGGAGGAGGGGGAGAGAGGGAGGAGCAGAAGGAGGAGGGGGAAGAGCAGCAGGAGGAGAAATCCACAACTAAGGCAGAACTTGGGGATTACAGCTCCCTTTCCCATGCCTCCCGGCCCGTGTCCACCATCATCCGGGAGAAGCTGGCTGACAGTTTTCCATTGGCATTGGTGGCTTTGACCTGAAACTCAGTACACAAAGCAGACTGCATTTCCCACGTGGACTCCCTGTTCTTCAAAATCTTATGGGGGAGAAGGTTTGGTTAGGAGTCCTGAGTTGTACCAGGCAAGAGCCCATCGCACGAAGGCATCGCACGGGAAAGAATTCTCAGACTCACCTGTGTTTATTTTCTCCTCTCCCGACCCTCCTTCCTCACTCCTTCCTTTTCCTCTCCCTACCCACCTTCCCCATCCCTTCCTTCTGTCTTCCCTCCCTCTCTCTTTCCTTCGAATCAGGTCTTTTTCCAAGAAGAGGAGACACAGGTAAGACTCTCTGTTTCTGGCTGCTTTTTTAGCCTTCTGCTTCAACAGACTTATTCTGGATAGCTGCCCGGGTGGGCTTCCATCACTGTGCTCCCTCTGCCTCCCTGAGCCCCAGTTCCCTCAACAGTGAAAGCCTGTGTTGATGTCCCAGAGCAGTCAGAGCCGGCTTTGGGGCTATGCGTTGCTCCTGGACCGAGCTCTGCCCGGAAACTGGAAGTCAAGTCTCTTAGGAGACACGGGTCCTATTACTCCACCGTAACTTTCTTACATCTGGGCAAGGAGTAGAGAACACGGCAGGAGCAACATGAAGCTACCACCTACAGGGACTCACGCACAGTGGGCCTACACTTAACTCTTTCCCCCGCCCACCCCAGCCTTCAGCAGTGGGTGTGTTTATGGTTCCCACTTGAGAGACTAAGCCAAGAGAGACCAGGAGCACAGCTAAAACTGAAGCCCAGTCTGTCAGCTGGGGGGTGTATGCAGATGATGGTGGCTTCTTCAGTAACAATAGCATATCTAGAGCATCTCCAGTGTCATCGGCTACCAGTGAGTACCATCCAGTCTCTCACACAGCTGGCTGTGGCTTCCTCCATGCAAAACTGAGGCAGGCGATCTCAGAGGGAGCAGGCCACTTGTCTGATGTCACTCACCTGAGCAGCAGAGGTGGCACTCAGACTTGGCATGGTGGCAGTAGATGAAATTATTAACCCAGCCCCTTCCAAGACCTCAGCAGACAGCCTTGGGTTTGGGGGAACCTGTGAGGCTAACTGGCTTGAGATAGAGACTCACTTTTTCAGTCTTCTGGGGACCCTGACCCACAGGGACCCTGGCTCATTGTTGCTCCTTCTATCCACACCCCAGGGTTCGGGTACTTGGATATTCATGGGCAGAATGTTTCATAATCTACCAAACCCGATCTGCCTTCATCTATCTCCCGTCTAAACTGATTGACTAGGAGACCATGGTGTGCACCGGACCCCGACTCTGTTGTGCGATCTCGCCCCCGTGTCTTAGCCCCTCAGAGGCTTCATTTCCACATCTCTAAAATGGGCTCTGACAAGTGTAGCTCCAGCTGTAGATGATGGGGACAACAGAGTGAGATGGTGCACTAACAGTTCACACGGAGCGGGAGTGTTTAGCACAGTACCCGGTGTGCACTAACGGTTCACACAGGGCAGGAGTGTTTAGCACAGTACCCGGTGTGCACTAACAGTTCACACGGGGCAGGAGTATTTAGCACAGTACCCGGTGTGCACTAACAGTTCACACGGGGCAGGAGTATTTAGCACAGTGTCCGAGGTGCACTAACAGTTCGCACGGGGCAGGAGTATTTAGCACAGTGTCCGAGGTGCACTAACAGTTCGCACGGGGCAGGAGTATTTAGCACAGTGTCCGAGGTGCACTAATGGTTCACACAGGGCGGGAGTGTTTAGCACAGTGTCCGAAGTGCACTAACAGTTCACACGGGGCAGGAGTGTTTAGCATGGTGCCCGAGGTGCACTAATGGTTCACACAGGGCAAGAGTGTTTAGCACAGTGTCCGAGGTGCACTAACAGTTCGCACGGGGTAGGAGTATTTAGCACAGTGCCCGAGGTGCACTAATGGTTCACACGGGGCAGGAGTGTTTAGCACAGTGTCCGAGGTGCACTAAGCCCTCGGCATGCAGATATGGTCGCTGTGACCTTCATTACCCTTGCTGCTATTAGCCTTCAGAGCGAACTTGGCCTCCTCGGCACCCTGTTCTCAGCACAGGGCCATGAACCAGGATCCCTGGCCTAACTCGGTGCATGGAGACGCTGGCATTCGAGCCAGCTGCTTGTGTTTACTCTTGAACTGCACCCGTGTTTTCTTTGCCTTGTTAGCATCTTTCAATTAACTGGCCGTTTCTCCTTCAGCTCCTGTAGCCCTAAAAACAAAAGACGGGAAGAGAAGAAGCATAAAAAACAGTGAGTAGCCAGATGCCCCTGGAGCACACTGTGCAGCCTGAGGAAGTGGAGGTCTGGCCTCTCTTCAGCTGGAGTGTTAGCTGCCAAATGACCAGGGACAGGGGAGGAGGGGGCAGTGGCTGAGAGGGAGGAAGGAAGGAAGGAAGAGAGGAAGGGGAGGGCTTTATGTTCACTTGAAAGTGAGGGGTGGGGTATGCATGGATACACAGGTTGTATATGTGGTATGTGGGTGTGTGCATGTGTGCTTGTGTTGTACATTGTATATGTTTGTGCCTGAAGTGCTTGTTAAATGTGTAACATGTAATGTATATACCATACATAAATTTGTAGGTAGCTTGTGCAAATGTAGTGTGCACATCACTTATGAATGTCTACATATTCTTATGCCATGCAAACACCCATGCACATGGTCTGCACAGTGCATGTAACATGGGCACAATGCATGTGTGCATGGGATCTAGCTGTGTTCACATGAATGCCCTTGTGTATGAGCGTGGTGGCACACAGCACTCACACAGGTGCACCATAGACTCGTGTATCTGAAAGCATTCTGTTCCGACTGTGTGCACACTCTACATGAACACTGTATGTCTGCATTCTGTGTAGGGGGCATGGTAGTCTTTACCCATGCACAAATCTGTGTAGAGTGTGCATGGACTGTGGGTGTGATCACATGTGTGCGTGGGTGAACAAGCATCTATACATACACTCTGGCTACTGGTTTGCATGTGCTGGTTTACAGTACAGGGCTCCCGGTGAGTCCCGAGTCTCGGGCCCAGCTGTTTCTCAGTTTATAGCTGGTACTAGAAATTCAAATCAGTCAGTACTGCCTGCGGAGTTCAGTTCCCCATCAAATTAAAAGTAAATTTGGTTACAACCCACCTACTTTATACTCTGTAAATGTTAGTGCAATGTGTTTTCCAATCAACTAATATTTTATCTCCCGCCAAGAAGCATCTAAGGAGAGGATCAAAGACAATAGAAAAAGAGGGGAGCGACTTCTGAGGAGGGGAAAGAGGAGGCAGGGCACAGAGGGAGGGCGCTCAGCATGCCTGCATCAAAGGGTCCCTTACTCAAGGTCAGCACAGAGGAGGACATTCCAGTCAGTGCTATAAAGACATGGAACATGCTCCAGAAAGAAGGAGAGACTCCAGTAAGATCAAGGAGGAACTTCTCTATTGGTCACTTTGTTTAAATGAAGCCATCAAAAGAAAAATTATTAATGGCATGACTCCATGATCCCCTGAAGCTAGTCCTATTGCCATCCCAGTGTGAGAGTGAAGACACAGAGGTGCTGAACTAGTGACGTGAGTGCATTGGAAGCAGGGAGCTTGGCTCCAGCGTCTTCACTCTCAGCACACGCCCTGTGTTCTCAGACACCAGCAGCCTTGGGCCTGTCCGCTCAAGAGCGCTGAGGTAGTCACTCTCTCCAGTGTGAAAGGACAGACAAGCCCCGGCAGTTGCTAGCAGTTCATCATCAGAAAGCTGGACAAACCACATGGGGCAAGACAGAGAGCCAGAATCCCAGGGGCTTCCAGGAAGCAATGGGTTGTTCTAACCAAGCTGACCACAAGTTGGCTTCCTCTCGCTCAACGCACCTTCATGAGGCCCTGGCACGTGGCAGTGAGAAGTGGAGACTGAAGCTTGGGACACAGTGAGGACACCAGCAGGGGACGGGGGATAGGGTTTGACGGTGACGGTGACTTTCTGCAGGAGGGCATCTCAGGCTGCTGGTGTCGGTTTCCTCACCGTGCCGTGGGACTAGAGGGAGGACTCACCCCCAGTTGTGGCAAAGAACGCAGAACCCCTGGAGGACAGAGCTGAAGAATGGGTTAGATACAGGTGACACCGTGGTCATTACCATCTGAGCCAGAACGCAAGCCGAGTTACACATCTGTTGTGGCTTGAGTCGGGCGGGTCAGTGCAGAAGACATTGGACAGCTAGGCCAGATGAAGAAGCAGGCAGGGCCAGCCCCTGAAGGAGCTTGGGGTTCAAGACCAGAGTCTGGAGAGAGCACAAAGGCAGTGAGCAGGTGTTAATCAGGGAATGGAGATGGCCTGACACTTGTACCAGAAGAATCTGATTCCTTCGCTGAGATACACAGATTTGTGGGCCACCACATTCTTCACACCCTTCGATTTGTGTTTTGGTTGTTTTTAGAGACAGTCATGCTATGTCACCCAGGCCAAGGCAGCCTAGTTCAGGGCAGCCTCAAACTCATGGTGATCCTCCTGCCTCAGCTTCCCAAGCACTGGGATTCAAGCATGAGCTGCCACACTTGACTTTCTCAGATCATCCTTAGTGGGGTTTGGGGACCCCTCCTCGGGAATGGCTGGGGTGAGCCAGGGTGATGCTGCTGTTCATGGCTGTCAGACTTTGGGCTCCACGCTAAGGATCTGGACTTCGTGTCCCAGGTCCAAGGTCACAAGTTGGCACCTGAAAGACCCATTAGACTTCTGCACACCGAAGGTTACCTTTTTCATTTAAAGCATTTTCTCTTTAAGGCAGGGGTATTAGCTTACGTTAAAGAGTCTGTATTTGTTTCTCCATGTGCTTGGCCTATTGGAGGGTCCAGTGGGGGAGGGGAGGCTGGAGGCACAGCAGACCCTTTCACTTTCACCCAGGCCGTAGATCAATATTTTGCAAGATCCCGACTGGCCTTAGAAACGGAACAAAATGCAGATCCCTGACCTTGAGAGAGACAGGGGAGGCTTGGGGATGATTTCCTGCCCGGTGTGTGGCTTTTGCCAGGACTGCGTCTAGCATGAGGTCAAGTCTCAAGTCAGTTGTCAGCCACATTCCTCACATAGGACCCTTTCTGCTTCCATGATCTCAGTCTAGTTAGGCAGAGAGTCCCGAAAATGCCAGGAGGAAGCTGGGCTGTGAGGCTGGGAGATGAGTTCCTTTGGGAGTGACCTAGACTACTCTTGGGTATGAATTCCAGGATTTGTGTATCACAAAATCAAAATCAATGCCCCACTCTTTTCTCCTGTCTCTCCCTCTCCCTCTCTCTCTCCCTCATCCACCCCGTCTCTCCCCACCGGAAGATCTCGAAGCCGGAAGTCTCACCACCATAGACACCACCATTGCCCCTCAAGGTCTCAGAGCTCGGAACTGCGCTCTTCCAGCTGCGAGAGCAGGTAACACCTTTGCCCCTGTTTCTGGTCCACCCGCCCTGAAGATGCTTGACCCAGGTTCTGTTCCACACTAGCTGACTCTCGCTCTCCAGGTCAGAGCTGCCTCTGCTTGCTGCCACCAACTGCAGGCAGAAGGACACAGTAGTGGTCCCCACGAAACACAAGCTTACTAAGTGTCTTAGGTGATGCTGGTTCACATGGCCCTCTCTACAGTCCCTTGAGGTCAATCCTGTTGTCCCATTGTGCAGATGAGGAAACTGAGACACCGGGGCTTTAAGGAAGATGATACTTAGCAACCAAGAGACACAACCAGTGTTAAAGTCAGGGAGTTTAGCTCTAGACTTTCCATTCTCAGAACAGAGAAGCTGAGCCACCTGTGAAGCCACACAACACAGAGTACCAGGTTCTGAGGCCCTTCCAAGTTGATTTTCTCCTGACTCTGATGTCTCTTTGCTGCTGCATTCCCTGTCCTGGTCTGAGAATGACAGGAGTTGAGTGCTCTTGTGGAGATAAAGAAGGCTTTGTGAGCGAGAACATTTGGAATTGTTCATACAGGCGAGAAGACCAATGCTGGCTCCTCACGACAGGAGCTTCTCTTTGTTTCGAGTACTCAGTCATGAAAGTGGGGGATGGGAATGTGGCAGGACTTTACCTTCTTTCTGTGGAAATAAGATGGCTGGGGAAGAAAGAGAAAGAGGTAGAAAGGAAAGAGGATATAGAAGAGGAGGAAATGAGATGGAAGAAGAAGAGGAGGAGGAGGAAGGGAGGAGGAGAAACGCTTATCTTCGTGCCAGGCTCTGGGCTGATTTCGAGCCCTTTCTCTCTGTGACCCCATGAGACGATGAGCACTGATATGATTTTCTATATTGTCTGTACTTGGTGGTCACCTCAGAACTGTTTTTTAAAGATAATTTTGAGTGTCTGAGTTGCATCCTCTAGTCACCCCAACAAGGCAGAGAAACTACAAAACCTCCCAGGGAATATGAACACAGAGTAGGTGTGAGAAACCCTGCAACTGAGGCCCTGATGTGTCCCCACCCAAGCCACCTCTGTGTTTCTGCTGGACTCCAGCCACAAATAGGACCAACAGATAAAGCCACACTGCACTCTGAGTGACCAAGACACAAACAAGACCCATCATTGTACAGGGCAGAACCCAAATGGAATAAGAACTTGTCCTCAACACACAAGCACCCAGGAGCATCCTCTCAGCTAGCCCGGGTGGAGCCTGCTTCTTCCATGACCACAGGCTTAGCCTCAATCTGGTTGTTCTCATTGTAGGCTATCTCAATGCCTCACCCTGCTTTCTGACAATATCCAGCCCAGAGCAATGCCTCTGTCACTGTGAGATACAACCCCCAAACTTGCTCCCAATGCTGTCTGACAAGCCTATGTCTTCAGGGATCAGGGAGAACTGTGAGGGATTTCCAGGTGATTGCAAATTCATATCAATTTGCAAATACAATTGTGTTTCCAATTGTAACTCAGTACACGTGGATATTTGAAGGGTCAGATGTGCCTCTGGTTTCTACAGCAGACCAGACAAATCTTGCTTACACAAGGTGTCTCTGTCATTTTTATCAGACAAGTTTCCTTCAATATTTTGGGTGATGCTCAATAGAATGGCCCCATATCACAAATGGTAAAGAGACACTCACAAAGACACATGGGTATTCATGGAACATAGGCATGCTCAGACATACAGAATCACAAGCATATGAGGGACAGATCAAAGAAGAGACCTCTTTTGTCTTCATGGCTACACCCATAAATATTTGTTAAACAAGTAAATGGGAGAATGACTACATAGACAGGAGGGGCAAAGATGGATGGAAAGATGGTTGGTAAATGGATGGCTAGATGGATAAATAGATAAATGATAGATGGTGGATAGATGGATGGTGGGTATACGGACAAGTCATTATTAGATGGGTGGATGGAGGGATGGATGAGTGAGGGTGAATGGTGGGTAAGTGGATGGAGGATGGACAAATAATTTATTGAGTAGAGAGAGGAATGGAGGATGAATGGAGGATGGATATGGATGAACTGATGGACAGATGATGGGTCAATGGCCTGGTGCATGAATGGATGAGTGGTGGGTCAATGGGTGTGTGGGTGGGCATATGGGTGAAGAGATGGGTGAGTGAATGAGTAATGGGGGGGATGGATGTACATACACACAATCCAGCACTCTTACGTTCACAAACATACCCAGGTACAAATCATACAAACACACACAATCATACTCTGTCATTCTCAGGTGACATGCTGGTTGCCCAGCTGCCTTTCCACCATGCTCTCTTTCAAAGGTATCTCTTTCTTGCTCCCCAGGCACCGAGGTCGTTCTCCCGAGGAAGGGCGGAAATCCCGCCGAACACACTCCCGCCGCTGCTCCAAGAACCACTACAAGGTCAGCCCAGAGGCCCGATCCAGCCACCTGACCAGCCAGCCCCTCCAGAGGCTCGGCTTCCTGTCAGCCAGGGGTGTAGTAAGTATTCTGCACATCCCCTCTGTCAGCCTTGCCATGACTCTTGGGGGAGGTGGAGGTCCAAGTTCAGGGCAGTGTACGCTACCTTTTAATTCAATTTTGGGTAAAATTTCCCACTGGCTCCAGATCTCATTATTGGTTAACCAAATGGTCATTCACCAGCTTTTGACAGCACTCTGCTTGGGAACCTGGGAAACAGAGGAAGACAAACTAAAACACTTAAGCTCGTATTTCAGGGGATGGGGGCTGTTGAAACACTGGTAACTGGCCTCCGGATAACATGTGTGAGAAGTTTCTTAGGGGAGGGCAGAAGAAAGGGATCTTTCACATGGGAAAGGCACTTAGGCTTTCATATTAAGTCTGCATCTCTTATGTCAGCTGGTTGACAACACTGATTGACAGCTGGGATCTGATTCCTCCCATTGATTTGAGCTTGACCTGTGTCTTCTTATGTGTTTGCACACAAAGTCTCAGGTGTTAAGGGCTGAGTTACTGTCTCTCATCCCTCCCACAAATGGGGCAGAAACATCAAAACTCAGAGAGGTTAGGATCTGGTGCAAAGTCACAGAGTGAGATAATGGTGAACCCAATTTAGGGACCCAGCAATGAATAAAAGCAGAAAAACTCTCCCTTGGGTCAACAAGAAGTAATTGGTGCGTGACCTTGAACATTTGGGTGTAGGATGGATCTGAATTTCAGACCTAGCCTCACATCTTCCTAGATGACTGTACCACCTCAGTGTTCTCACTGGGCAAACTCAAGATACTCATTTCATTTGAGGTGATTGGGACTATTCAATAAGAGGAAGTATGTGAAGACCTTTTGTGGACTCTGAGGGGACACAGAGCTAAACAGAATGAGAGTCAGCTTTGACATGTCACAGATTGTAGCCAGCAACTCTGAAGGGAGTCTGTCTTCCAGATACAGGAAAACTTGAACATGCAAGGAGGTATTTCCCTTCAGAAGGGTGAACTGGAAACAAGGAAGAGTCCAGGGGTTCTGTGGGAAGATCAGTAGGAGAGGTGAAAGTAAGCATCACTGTGGTCTGGTTGGCATGATCTGTATTTCCAGTATGTTCTGGAAAGCTGTTCTCCACATCAAAGTATCTTGTGTCACCAGGGTCTAGTTTTATTCAATGTCATGCATGTCTGACTGTGCTCTTCCTAAGTACCTCCTTCTCAATGTGTCTGTGAGAACATGCAGGTGTCAGCCCCTGTCTGCACTCTCTCATTCCCTAAATTTTCTACATTTCCTGTACTAAAAGACTACAGAGGCCAGGGTTTGAGTCTTGACTCACCCACCCACTTCTGATTACTTCATTTGTAGAAAAAGTATAAGTAAATTCAAATGATGAGCAGTAAGAAGCAAAAGAAATATTCCTGAGTTAGCTATGACTGCCCCATCTCCCATGTGCTAGTGCCTATCCTCGCCTATCTAGAAACCTCCAACTGACCTTAGCCAAAATGCACCAATGGCAATGCCTGACTTATACTCTCTCACCTGTCTGGAATGGTTTCCAAAGAAGTTCACATGTGTGATGATGCTGCTGAGAACTACATCTGTCTTCCCTCACTTACCAGTATTGTCACCAGACTGACTCTTGTCAGTTTCTTTCCCAGAACACAGGCTTCTGTGACAATGAAGTACAATGCTTCATCTCCCCCAGAGGCCTCCTTCTCGGGAGCCTCCATATTCCTTAGAAACCCAGCACCTGTTAAAAGAAACAAAAGCCAGGCCTTATCTTTATATTCAAGGAAGAGGCCTTAAGAGCTCATCTCTCTCCCACTACCTTGGTTATTAAGAACTGAAGTGGAGATGCATAAGAGAGTAATGATGACTTTGGCAAGGTGGGGTTATAAAAAAAACAGGGGATTATGATTGTGCAACAAAATTCTTTATAAGCTCAAAGTTCTTCAGCTGTAAAAAGAATGATAGATATATAAACAGAGAATACATATATACATGCATATATATAATACACATATGCTTGCACACATACAATCTCTTCTTCAAAAGATAATCATAGAGCCCAATACTTGGTCCAGGGACAAAGCTCTGATAATATTCTAGATTCCTTCTTTGGAACTTTGGGTTCATCACATCACTTCTCTGAGTCTCTATTTTTTCAAATTTTGAAAAACAAAGCAACTTGTGAGACCTAGTTCATAAGACTGTCATGGGGTCACCATGACTAGCTGTGAGTAAACATTTTAGAATGCAATTGGTGAATGGAAAACATTATATGATGTCTCTTACTGGTGCTGGCAACAGAGGTACAACAACAAAGGAGGTAGAGGCCATAGCAGAGGTCACAGTGATAACTAGAGTGCTTGGGTAAGCCAACAGGGACAAGAGTCAGGGTCCTGCTTTCTGGAGAATTTTCTTTCCATCATAAATAGTGGCTGTATCCAATATGGCTACTCTCACCTAGTTGAGATTTTTATGGCTCCTGGGAGTATCAATACACTCCAAAATCTGATTCCATGTTTCCTCCATTCTTGACCCTTTTCCTTCTCTATTACAAAGGTAGAAATAAAAGGAGATTCCAAGTGCACCACAGGTTTCTGAAGAGTTCCAGATCCCAAATTTTTCTCCATTAGATAGAACAGCAGAGGTATTTGCACTGAATCACACATCAGTCATTCATTCCCTCGAGTCTATCCGTGTTACTGAGCATTCATTAGAGGATTAGGCTTGAATTTGGCTCTAGAGATCTGATAAACAGAGAAGAAAGTCTGTGTCTGCTAAGGGGGAAGACAGAGAAGATGACAACAGAAAAAGGTCAAGTATGGCAATGGATGCCAAGATGAGGCAGACAGAAGTTTGGCTGATAGAAAAGGGCATTAGGATTAAGGTAGGTAGAGAATGAAATGAAGACCCAGAAAACTAAATTTGAGCAGGATTTAGGCAATAAAAATGAAAACTGAAGATTGGAGTTGGGTTTGAGATGGAATTCTAGGACAAGACACAGGTGGTAGAGGCAAATTGGAGGCCTAAGCATTGGGGACCTCCTGTACCCCAGGTCCCAATGCTCCATCCACAGAGCTGTTTTGAAAATGGTCAAGAGCATGTGCATGACATCACAAGAGGTGCTTTGCACATATAAATATTCAAATGAAGGCATTGCCTCTGAACAGGATCCTGGTTGGTTAAAGGTGACCAGCCAAGGTGACTCAGCTCTCTTGCTTGGTCACTGAGAATGAGCAGTCAGTGTGATTAGTGCAGGATCGTGGGTGTAGGCATCAGTCTTTCCTAGGCTTGTTGAAATAGTCAAAAGGTTACACACAAACTGGTCAAAAGGTTATTTTACCACTTCATTCTATCCCCAATCTGCCAATTATACCTTTCCTCCCCTGGCACCTTCAGGACCACTACAGCATAATATCTAGTCTCTTTTAGTGCCAAGCTGCTTTCTAATAGAATATACTTGACACTCAAGCAGTTGGTGACTGTCCAGAATACTCTTCACAGTAATGGTGGGGACAAGCACAATGTGTCCTGAAGACATCAGACACTTCTGTCTTGATGTCTGAGCAGGCTTTACGATGAGAGGACATTTGAGCTGGGCACTGAAGGTTGGGTAGGAGTCTATCAATTTGAAATGACTCATGCATAAAAGGAAATGTGATATCATTCTGTGGGAGGCACCACCACATAAGTTGCATAGTTATTTGACCCTAGTTTCTTAGAGGTTTGCATCAATATCGTCCCCATTTTGCAGATGGAGAAAGTGAGGCTCTGGGAGGCATGAAGACCTAGGAAGGTAGCACAATTTGGAGAGAAGAGAGCTGTCAGGGACCTCAGATTATGCCTCAGAAACTTGCTCTGATGTCAGCAGTGGTTGGACAGGGGTACAGGGATGCTGTTGTCCCCAAGTGCTTGGTAGGGACTTTCTTGTTCTGCTCTGTGGGCATTCTAACTACAGAGGGGATCTGGAAAAAGGAATGAATCAGAACCAAGGAGAAAGGTAGGCCACCTCCTCCTGCTTCCTCGTACTCTAACCAGGGCCAAGGGCAATCAGTCATAGATTGCTTGTGCCAAGTGCTGCGCGGATGCTAGCAGACAAGAGGAGGACGTGGAGTCCATCAAAGATGGTTTCACGAAATTTGTAAACTGAAGAAGGCAAAAGAATATCTGTGGTCGAGACGTGGGCTTGGCAGAAGATCTCACCTCCCTGTGGCATTTGGATGGCATGGGTCACTAATGTTTTCTAAGCACCTACTATGTGCCAGGTCACTGCCTCAGGTTCTTATTATATCACTTCAACACATCCACTCCGGAATGAGCACACTGTGGCCTAGAAAGGTCTGACAGAGGTAGCTACTTGTAGAAGCTCAGATTTGAAGCCAGAGAGTCCGATCAGGAGACCCACGTGTTTAATTACATGTAAAAACATCTTCCGTACCTTGGGGTAATTATCTTAGCCTGTTTCCACGGTCAGTATGATGGTGGCGTGAGACTAGGCATCTATCCACTTTTTTAAAATATACACTAAGAGCCAGAGAGGCAGCTCAGTCAGCTCCCACCCCAATCCTAAGTTTGGATCCCTAGCACTCCATAAAAACCAAGCATGATGGTGTCTACCTGTGACCCTAGAACGGGGGGCGGGTAGAGAGACAAGAGGATCTCTGAGGTTTGCTTGTCAGACAGTCTACCTGTGCGGGTGGCCTGCAGGTTCACTGGGAGACCCTTTGTCAGTAAATAAATAAAAATAAGGCAGGGGTTGACGGTTGAGGAAGATTCCTGAAATATGATACCAACTTCTGGTTTCCACCATCACACCCACACACATGAGCGTGAACAGATATACACACAACAATCATAACAGTAGCAGTAGTGATATTAACTGATAAGAATAACTTTGCACTTCTGCCATGAGCCAGGCATCTGCTGCTAAAAACTCATTTCAAGGCTTGGGGTCTAGCTGCCAACATGATTTGTTACCACAGAAACTTTGTAAAGACTTATCCCAAAGAAACCCGGCAATGTCCTCGGAGCTC